CGGCGGTGCGGGAGAACGTCACCATTAACGGGCAGCCCTGGGAGGAGGCTTCGGACGATTCCGAGCCGCGGAATGGTATGTGTTCGCTTCCGTCCGTTTCCTGATGGGGGTTTGGTTTGCGCGTGTGGCGTTTTTGACGGGGCGGTTCTTTTCCCCAGCTCTCTGTGGCGGGAAGGGTGTTCGCAGGGGCAGGGAAAGTCAGACTCTAGCTCAGGTGTACCCATGTAAAGATCTGAAACGCTGCACTGCGGGAGCATGAATCTCACCAAGCAGTGCTCAGAAACAAAAAGAAGGGTAGCCAAAACGTGCGTCCAAGAGAAAAGGGAGGGGAAGGTCCTTTATCTGAAGAACAATTGTCTGATCCTTCTGCCAGGATCTATAAGGATCTTAACAGATGTTGAAGCATAATTTCCAACTATCACTAGTATGGTGCCTGTATAACTTAAACGACCTGCCATTGACTAGCAGAGAAAAATAGCTTAGAGACTCCCAAATTATTAGATGCTAACATGGAAAACATAAAGGCTTAACTAAGCTTAATGGTAGCTGTCGTGCTGCAGAGTCTACAACAAGCTTTTAGGAAGTTGGTGTTTCAAAGCAAGATTTTTAATTTGGGAAGTTAGGAAAGAGCACGTTCTGTTTCATCAGCTTCTCTTACCAGAATAAAGTGAGTATACAACATTTAATAGGATATAGAGTATGGTGGCTTCTATTTTTAAAGCTAGAACACAGCAACAGAATCCAAGTCTGGAGGCCTCCTGCCCTTTCTTGGCAGTCAGTTTCTGTGTTTGACTGTGCTGATGGTAAAAAATTCCTTTCCTGTGGGCTGTTGGAATTTCCTTTACTGTAATGTACCCCTTGCCTCTCATCCTTTTGCTGTACACCTCTGAGAAGAGCCTGCCTCTGTCCTCTCTAGAACGACCTTCTGGTAGCTGAAGGGAGCAGTTAAGTTAGCCCCTAGCCTTCTCTTCTCCAGGATGAACAAACCTAGCTCCCTCAGCTGCTTCTCACACATCATGTGCCTCGGATGCCAGTCCTCTTGGTGGTCTTCCACTGGAATTGCTCCAGTGCTCAATGACACATTCTCCCAGAGCACCCAGGCTAGGATGTTATGGAGGTGAGAACCGTGGCTGGATCATTGAGCTCAGAGGCTAGTGTTTAATGGTTCATACTTTTATTTTAGAGATGGTTACAAGCAGAGTTATTCAGGTGTCTGTTCTGGGACCTGTTCTGTGCAATGTCTGTAGCTGTGACCTGGAGGAGGAGATGGGAGGTGCCTTCACCCCCTTTGCAGCTGACATCAGCCAGGGTGGGATGCAGTGAATATGCTCAAACTGGCTAGAGAAATGCATCTGTGATAATCTTATGAAATCCAGCAAGGACAAAAAACAAAGCCCTTCACTTGGGAAGGGGTAACCCTCTGCAGGGATACAGGATGGCAGGGACCTGAGGACCTGGTCAGGCTGTGAGCCAGCTGAGTATACTGTGTGAACAGGAGCATAGTCAGTACATCAAATGAAGTGACTGCCTTTACTTTGCACTTGCTAGAGCACATCTGGAGTGGTGCACTCATTTCTGGACTCCCCAGTATAAGAAAGTTGTTGATAAACTGGAGTGAGTTCATCAGAGGTTGTCAGGATGGCCAGAGGGCTGGAGCACATACCCTGTGAGTTGAGGGTGAAGGGACTGGTACCTGTGAGGAGGATCAAGCCAGGCTGTGTATTGAGGTGTACAGAGGTAAGGGTCATTAACTGAAAGGGCAGGTTCTGACTCAATGTGAGGAAGTAATAGCTCACTGTTAGGATAACTGGGTGTTGGAGAAGGTTGCCCAGAGTTTGTGTAGTCTTCAACATGGGAGGCTTCCAAAAACCAGCTGGATGAAAATCCTGAGCAACCTGGTTGGACTTGGTGTTGACCCTGTGGGGTGGAGTCAAGAGAGACCTCCTGCAGGCTCTTCTGCCCAAGTGATTTTGTGCAGGGGACACTGGCCAAGATCTCTTACTATAAAAGATGCTGGTAGTATGTCTGATGGTACTATATAGTATACAAATTAAATACATTTTTGTAATTATTGCCGTGTAGTCATATGTTTTTTATATGTAATACAAACAACTTTTTTGTAATTACTATCTTTCGAATAATAGTTGTGGAGGTTCCTGGTGGTGTGCTGTCCAAAGAAAATACCAGTGCAGTTCATGGGCTCATCTGTGTTAGCATTCTTTGCCTGCAACTGGGTGGTTTTTACAGCTGCACAAAGCAGGAACTATAGATCTGTGGAACTGATTTTTGGTCAGGAAGCTTCTGCAGCTGCAGTTCTAAAATGATAAAACTCCATCTCCTTTGACTACAAAGTCAAAAACACCCTTGTCTCATGATGCAAAATGCTGAAGTGATTCAGACTCACTTAAGTCGTTCCAGTTTGTTCAAAAATCTGTAAGATTTCCTAACAGGAGGACTTTGCCCAGTTGTGTGTTGTTTTCAGTGAGTTAGCCTTTGTCTGTACTGTAGCTTTATGCTGTGAGGTGCTGTCACCTTCCTGGCACCAGGCAGGGGTGAGCACTGTATTGTGCTTTTCAGTTTGACATAAATTCACTCGTGTGCCTATCTTTCATCCAGTTTTTGAATCACAAGCCATCTGGCATTTTGTGCCTTCATGTCTGTTGACCAGTGGCTCAAGCCTTTCCTCTCTTTACTTGATTTCATGGTCATCCTAAAACAAACCCAGAGACTCCTAAAACCTTGATTTTACCTCGGGAGGTTACAATCACCTGATTCTGCACAGATCAACCAAGAGAGGGTGCTCAAAGTCCATTCTTCACTACTCGGTTGGAAATGTCCCTTGGCTTGCAAATTGTGCTTGAGAGGTCAGTGGGGAGAGAGAATTTAAATGCTAAGGAGTTTGCAAAATTAAATTAAAAAAAAATAACAAAGCAAGACTGTTGTCAACATTTCAAATCTCCACCAGGGAGAAAAATTACAGGAGTTTGCAGAGGAAAGAATATAGAAATTGTGCACTACCTTTGAGTTACAAACATTTAGGATACAAGATTGGGTTGTTAGTTCTGTTTTCTTCTGTAACTCTAATTTTTGTGGTTTGTAATGATGGTGTGTGATGTCAGTGCAGGCATTTAATGCGTTTTGAAACCAGTTTTAAGATACTATCTTAAGCTTTTAAAATTGTGACGTTTAATTGCAGTCTTGAAGAAGCTGAGTACCTGGAGTAGGGTAGCAGTGGTGAAAACACTTCAGTCAAGAGCTGGAGATGTGTTGTAGGCATTTAGCCTAATCTTAGGACTAGAAAAGCAAGCTGTGAAAGTTGGCTCCTACTAGATGGAGTGTCTTGGGTCTCAGATGCTGAAGGCAGATGTGTTTTGGCTTTTGCAAACCCCGTATGACTGGTGATTACAGATGTCCTCAAGATGCAGAGTATTTCCAGGAACTGTGTTTCATGGAGGTCATACAAAATCAGTTAGGGTTCAAATTTCTGTTTGAACTGTTGGTGGTTATTTGATGTTTGTAAATGACACAGTAACCCTTTTTCTTGCTGCGTGTTGCACTGCTTCTCTTCAGCTGAAAAACAAATTATCTCAGAAGATAACCATTTCTTTGTGAGATTTTCTTCATAGGCAGATGTGCAAAGAGAAAAATATGGTTTTGGCTTTTCCCCAGATTGTTCCCTGCTGTCCCCCTTTATTGCTGGCTCCCTTACTTCAAAAGTAACTGCTCAGCTCCAATTTCTGTATCACCCTACAAGGAGATCCAAGGCATATACCTTTATCTTCAGTCATAATCATGCATGATTTCTTATTTCAGATTTAAAGCTGTCTCTTTCCTTACAACTTTCCCTCAGATCTAAAAAAAAAAAAAGCAGAATTCATACACTAGCTCTGTGTCTGTAATTTTTAGGTTCCAGCATCAAGATTCTTGAGGATCAGTTTGATGAACTGATCGTAGAGACGACAACGAAGCGTAAGCAGTGGCCTAGGAAGATCCTGAGGCACGCTGTCGAAACCATGAAAGCAGAGCAGGAGATGTTGGTGAGTAACCTAAGGTTTCCAGAAAGCCTCTGCATGTAGGTAGTTGCTGATCATATGTAACTTGAAGAAATAAATAATCAGATGTTGACCTCCCCATAGTTGCTTTTGATTCTTTGTTATTTAATGAAATTGTTTCTTTGTATTCATTTTGTTCCTCAGTAAGAGGAAGGCTGGGACAGTGCACTGTGGCTGTGTGTGAATTTGACCCCTGGCACAGTTCAGGAAGTTACTTAAGCAGCTTGCTACATGATGACTCGTGATTTACAAGCCATTATACACCTATTTATCTTGTCCAACCCAGGTTTTTGAAATCTTTGGCTGAAGGCTGTTTGAAGTACTATATGTTATGACACATACAGATAAACATATGTGCAGTATATGACTTTTTAAAAGATGTCTGTGTTCTTCTAAGCATTGTTGTTGAGCTGACTACACTGAGTAAGTACTTTCAGTAACTTTTACTTTCAGTAAAAGGAAAAAAAACCTGCAATGTTGATTAATGCAAAGGTGCAGAAATTTCTGGGGTTTTGACACTGAGCATAGATTAATTACTGGCACTTAGCAACCCAGTCATGTTCTCAGTTGCTAAATTTCTTTCCTGCAGTTACATTAGGCCTGCCCCTTGCTTACTGATGATTAATTAGGAGTCAGTTTTCTATGGGGAAAAAAAAAGGCCAAGAGGCAATGGGCACAAATAGAAATGCAGGAAATTCCATTTAGCCCTTTAAAAAAATAAAAAAGGACTGTGAGGATAGTCAAACACTGACACAGGTTGCCCAGTGAGACTATGGAGTCTCCATCCTTGTTGATAATTCAGAACCTGACAGGATGAGGCCATGAGCAATCTGCCCTAGCTAGCCCTGCTTCAGTAGGGGCTTGGGCTAGACAGTCCTAGAGTCCCTCTCCAGCCTCAGCTATTCCCTGATTCTATACTACAGATGATGGAATTTTTTTTTAGAAAGTTAAGTGCCTGCATTGCATTTCTGAGGGCTAAAATTGACAAAAGATAGTAACTCTCTAGGTTAGCCAGACACAGGTGATTCACAGTAAGTAAAAGTGCATGGGTATATGTCTTAAATCTGAGATGTTTTCTAATGCATGTTGTCTTTTGTGATCTGTTTTGTTAATATCTATATCAAGTATGTAAAACAAACAAAAAATGACAACTAAGCTAAAATATTGTATAGCACCAAGATTTAACAAGACCTTTTAATCTTTCTGCAAAAAGGAAAACTGTGTTCTACCTGAGTCCCAAAGTGGATTAGTCATTTAAATGTCTCTCACACTACGTTTTTTTCTGTTGCTGACCTCTTCAAATTTTACACCACCACAAGTAGGTGATTTCTGTATTTTGCAGACACTTTAATTAAAGTAAGTTTTAGCTTATCTCTGTAAATGAAGTGGCTTGTTTGTTTGGGTTTTTTTTTCCATCCCTCAGCTGCTGCTGTGGAAGTACTTGTGGTTTCTCTACTTTTGACTGAGGAATTTCTGTGTTCTTTTTTGACCCTGGCTGCTCCTGTGATGCATGTTTTCTGAGGCATGAAGAGCAGCTATGAAGATGCAGCAGTTAACTGCAGTTTGCCTGGAGAGAACCACTCCTTTAGTGAGGTGATCTCCCTGTAACTGCCAAAGCAAGAGATCACCCTGCAGTTCTGCAGTCATTATGTGCTGTTCTGTTTGAGGATAATGCAAGCAATGTTTGTTCTGCTGCTTGGAGCTGTTACTGTAGACTTGGTTAAGAAGATGTATGAACTGTGAAAAACTTGCTCTGATAAAACTGCAGGGAGGAATAATTAACTTCCCTCCTACTTGTTTTTGATTGAAGAAGGTTGAGGGACAACTCCTGAAATGGAGAAAAATGCTAACTTGCAGATGATAGAACTTACATTTCAATGTCTTTGCTTTGTTTCCTTCCTCCCTGGTAGTTACTTCTAATTCCACCTTTAAAATAACTAATTATTGATTGTATTCATTATTATGAGTTAAGTTCATGTCACAGTTAACTGATGTCAAGACTCACAGAAGGACTGAAGAGCAGAGAGCCTGTTCTGTGAAGGAGGGTGTTCCTGTTTGTGCATAAGTAATTGCAGGGCTAGAATGTAGTAATTTAAATAGTTTTCTCTTTCTTAGTTTTTTGTCTTAGTGTACCCTTTGTTTGAGTTTGCTCCTCTGTGAAAGTGTCCTGTTCTTGGGAATGGCTTCTCAGAAGCCAGAGCAGTGCCCTTCCCTCAGCTGTGCAGCAGGTGGCAATGCTTCTTCCCAAATGCCTGCCTTTCACATTAGTTCTCATGCTTTAATAATTAGAATTCTGTGAACTAAAGCAGATTTTGGAGATGTTTGCAGTGAACTTAACTATGTTAACCAGCACACTGTTTTCAGTAATTGAGAATCTATAAATTGTGCCTCTAAAACGTTCTTTATCTAAATAATTCCACCCCTGTCTCCGTGTCATTAGCCCTTCTCCATTGTTCTGATTGCTATGTGTATATTAGATATCTATTAAACCAAGAGGCTGTTTCAGAATTTTTCTTTTTTTGAATATGCAGAAGCTCTACCAGCCCTTGGTAACACCAGAAGAGATAAGATTGCAGCCTTCTCAAGGTAAATGTGTTGTGGGGAGGGCAGCTGTACTGAAGAACCACTGCTTACCTTACTGGCTAGCTGTAAATGTCTTTAGCAGCTTTCTTGAAACTTGTTTAAAATTATTGAATGTTTAAATCATTAACCAAAATAGCTAGAAGCTTGTCATAACAGTGTATTGCTGCCTCAGGGCATTGCATCCATTTCTCTTCTTCGAGGTGCTGCCTGCTGTTGGGGACTGCACTGAGAGGCAAAAGCCATCCACTCTGTAGGCATCAGGTAGAAATTGTCTCACAGCTACTACCCTCAGTAGGTTTTCTTACTTCTTTCCTTCAGTGCTGGTGGAAGCCAGATGGGGAACTAGATGGATCGCTGACATTATGCTTTGACTGTGCTGGTGTTCCCTTTACCCAAATACTAGAAATGCTTCACTCTCTCTTCCTAATCAGTCAGTTTCTTCAGGGAATTGAAAGCACTTGTGTAGTACTTGGTGATGGTAGTGTTGACTCTCCTAACTTGCAGAGTAGGCATCGAATTTTATCCTGCATGTGTCACTTGTAAAAGTTGATGAAGAAACAAAACTGCAAACAATGTCCTAAGTTTGCTGCATGCTTTTGAAAGATTCCTTACACAAACTCCTTGGAACCAGGTGGTGTGTGTGCACTTGGTGGGTGGGATGTGGTTTTTGGAGGCTGGCCTTAAAAAAATGAAAAAATTTTGTCTTACTTATTCTTAAGTATTGAAAAATTGGAGAATTTACCAATGTTGATAAAATGTGCTTACAGCATCCTCACTGTGGATTACTGCACATAATTTAAAGCTGGTGTAACAGACAGTGGAATTAAACAGAGTTAGAGAAGCTGAGCTTAATTGTCCAGTTCTTACCCTGCTGATCTGACTTCACTCTAGGCATCATTTCCTGTTTGCAAACAGGGGACATTGCTTCCAGAAATGCCAGCCTGTGCAGCAAAGCAGCTAACAGGAGCAGTAAAGAGCATTGTTTCATGCCTGGGTTTCTTTTGGTTTCTAGTGTCCAGAGCTGTGCTTCTCTAATGTGAATTAACTACTTTTTTAAAGTTAATAACAGCTTACATTTTGGTATTGCGTTTTCAGGTTTGGTAACAGCAAATCCTAGCCAAGACAGCATATTTGTGCTGAATTTTAGTATTATGTAGTCTTTGGGAAGTTTATGTATCCCAGTTTAGCAAGTACAGTGGCCAGAACCCAAAAATGTTTCGATTACTCAATACCTTTCGTTTCCTTATTTCATTTCCCTATGTTGTGGAAAGCCTTGAACACTGAGGAATGTAGTGCTGTCCATGTCAGGCTGAACTCCTGCAGGCAAATTGCATTTAACTGTGTGTCAGTCTTACTGTGTAACTATGATGCAAGTAACTATTTTCACTTTTACATAACTCCTTCCTTGCCATTTCAAGTCACCAGTCATCTAATCCCAATACTCTCCCATGAGAATGCTTCACTATGGACGTATCCTCCTTGGAGAGCATTTCCATTCCTAGGCCTCTGTGGTGTGTTTGAAGAGGCTGCTGCTGAACTGTTTTCCCTCCAGACTAAATGATCACTGTCACCCTGTTCCAGAATACAGTAGTTGACTTAAATTGTCTTCAGTAGCACCAGTGATGATACTGGCTTCAAAGCAGAACGCTGTGTGCAGCACTGAACGTTGTGTCCTACTGCAGGCACTGGTGCAACCCTGCAGAAAAGTAATAGGAGTGGAGGTGAGGCTGGTTAGATCCCAGGAGCACACCTGCTTATCTGCTGATTTTTTAAGTTGTTGATGGCATAGCATTGCAGGCAGAATGACAGCAAACATGCAAAATAGTTTTATAATAACTTGAAGAGTTTAATTCTCGAGTAAAAAAATTACTATTGCTTGTAAATCAATCATCAAAACAATATATAGTGTTGATGATCTTACCATATTGCTGCTGCCATCAGGTATGTGCCATTTTCCCCCCAGTGTTATGCACCTGCTGCCTGCTTCAGTGCTCCTGAAAGCTTCTGTTTCTTTCTTTCTTATTAGCCCAGCAGAATTAATGCTGTTCATATTGTGTACGCTGGGTTCTTTTTATTCTTCGTGTTACTGCTTGGCAAGTCAAGCCAGGAGAAGAATGTGGCCCTTATTGTAAAAGGTGACTTAATGGAGCTGTAGGATTATTTTATTTTCCCCTTCTTAAAACGGGTTTTCTTCTGTTTATTCCTCTTTCATGCATTTTTATGAAATGTAATATGGGCTTAAAGGTTTGAAAACTTACGGTTTGGTTTTTTTATTCTTCTTACATAACTGTTCTCTTCCTTTATGTCAGACACTGTTTTTCTGTCTCATGGTTTTTGTAAACTGTAGGTTTTCTAGTGAAGAACTTGTTCAATGCTTTAGTGAAAAGAGTGTGTTTAAGTTTTATAGAGGGGCTCTACTACTTTCCTGTCTGGTTTCTAAAAAGTTGGTAGCAGATGTCAGGAGGAGGGCGTTATGTTTCAGGAGCTGATGTGGGCTTTGTTTTCCACAGAGGCTTACATCACAGACCTGAGGCAGCTGACAGAAACTGTGTCCAAACAGATCAGCGAAGCAATGAAGGTGAGATCTGTGTGCTCCAAGAGGGTATTTTTATTTTCTTGATCTGATAATAAGTCACAAAACAGGCGTTTTAACTCATCTTGCGTATGGTTTTGTACAAAAAAGCTTACGTGTATAGTTTTGAAGCAAGTACATCTTTGTTTGGTCTGCTGAAGTTGCAGTTGTAAAGCAGTCCCCCTCACAGGGTAGTAAGGGACATTACCCTGTGGCTACAGGAAATGCTTGTGACAGATTTTAGAACCTGAAGCATCTGCAAAGTAAAACCTTTTTGGAAGACCTGTACAATTTCATACAGCATGTGACATTTATTACTTCATTACCAGCCTAGGCATGAACTGTGGTGTTCCTGTGGTGTAATGAAGGAACATTTAAACTTGGCATACTCTGCACGGCCTCTGTGAGTGCAAACTCTGGTCACTGTTAGTCTCAGAGTTCCCAGCCTTCACCTGCCATCCTAAGGATCACCACTGCAGACACTGAAGCTTTTGTGCCTGTCAGAATCTGATTACACATCTCATTCCTTGTAACCTTTACTTTTTCCCATGTAACTTGAGATACTTGGGTTTGTTTTTGCAGTCTCTCCCAGCGCTAATAGAAAGAGCAGAAGGTTTTTCCCAAGCATTGACTTGGCAACCAACTTTGGAACTCTGCAAGCTGAGGCAAGAAGTCTTTGCCATTTGCAAGGCAAAGGAGGAAAATAATGTCCAAAGTGTCACATTGCCAGGAGAAGTCACACCAACGGATGCTGCTGCCCATAGAAGCCCTTACGTTTTGCTGAGAAGGAAGAAGCCTGTAGCCTCCCCGGAGAGGAGGCGCTACCCGCTGCGCCGCAGGAGGATTGCGCTCAGCACGTGAGCTGACCCTGCAGCATTTTCAGCTTGGGATCTGCTGTACCCTTGCTCAGCGTGCTTAGTCTCTTTCCTGAAACTTCGTCTCCCTTCTAATTCAGCCCTACGCGTGGCAGCTGCCTTAATTATTTAGTCTTTGATCCTTTTAAATGTCTCTATTTTTACTGTCACACTCACGGTATGTGAAAGCCCACACACACCAGTAGCATCTGATACCCAGCAAGTGTATTTGCCAGTTAACTGATTTTTTCTCTTTTATCGCAGCATTTAGCTCGAGTCCTCATGCTCCTCAGTTTGTGCACATGCTTTATGTGTGTGGGAAATCTTTTAGTAAACCACTAAGTGCTCATTTACATGACGCATGTGTCTAAAGAAGTTGGAGCATTTCTAGCTCTCCTAGTGCACCTTTGTTCATTAGTGAGTTGGGTGGCTATGTTTTTTAAATAAATTAATTAGAAAGAAATTCACACTGGAGTATACTGAAAACTCCAGATTTGATAACGATATTAGTTTTTATAAAATCCACACACAAATGTGACCTCAGCCCCTGCTATTCCACCTTTCCTGAATGTAGGTCAGCTGGGCTTCTTTATAGGCATATTTGTTTAAACTTGGATTTTTAGTAATTGTATGTATTTACTTGCAGTGTGCTCTTCTGAAAAAGATTTCGACCCTCCACATCTCAGGGTCTCATACTGTGTTTCATTTAATCCAATTATGCTGTTGGGAGGTTCATGGACAATGGTCATTCTGCACATTACAGGATCTTGATGTGGGTCACGTATGTGTCTGTGATGCTTGATTAAATTTTAAACATCAGTATAGTCTATCAGTAAATGGTAAGGACTTGAGCTAGCTTACCTTTTTTCTGTCTTTATATATTAGTGCTTAAACAGCTGCACAGTAATACTAATTGTCTTAACCATTCATAACTTTTTTTGGTTTATGATTGCATGTGCTTGCAGTAAGTCTTCATGTCTAATACATAATGTATTTCTCACACAGTAAATGGAGGATTTTGTGGTTTTAGAAGCTTTATTAATTAAATGTACTGTCGTAAAAAATTGGACCTATTGGTCCAACTGAACGTCTAAGACTGAAAATTTTAAGAAAGCAGAATGCATCATTTATTTTGTAAAGGTGAGCATCTGTACCAAGACTTCATGTGTTTAAATCATACGTAAATATCTGTTCCCTGTTGCTCTTGTATATACAAATGTGTGTTTTTATACAAAATAAATTCAATCAGTTAAGCTCAAAGTTGCAGATAATGTCAGTTCTAATCCTGCAGTAGATGGTGACTGAACAGTGAGCACACTTCAGAAGACATCTCTGTTCAATTTTGTCTGGAGTAGCTGAAGTAGTTCCATTTACTGCCTTTGAACTCCCAACTGTTGTTAATCTCAGTGCTACAAAGCATCTAAAGTAGGAGAGGACAGGGTGTGAGAGGGGCTGGAGCTGCCAGGCCGTGGGACGCGTGACTGGGACGGTGTTTCACACAGTGACTGGTGTTGTGGCCGCTCCGAGGACGCGTGCTCCGTGCTGTGTTGAAAATCCCCACTGGGGCTTTCTTCACCAGAATCCACAGACACTCTTTAGTCTGAGTGTTCTAGACTAAGATGAGCCCTGCAAGGTTTTGCATGGCTGCCATTATATTATTTAATGGCTTTCTGTGTTCACAGGAAGATTCCCTGCTATTCACTGTGAATAATGATAGGCAAGTACAGAAAATAGCTAGCAATAAGCACACCTCTTTAAAGAGCTCCCATCAGAAATGGTCAAGGTAAGACAAATGCCTTAAGAAATAAGGAGGGAGAGCCCTGTGGATTAAGACTTAATAAGCAAATTAATTAATTCACCCTACAGTGTGTGTTAGTGATAAGAGATTGAAGGATAACTGGTCTGCACAGGATGTGAAGGCAGCAGGGATGGGTGCCTGAGCTAAGGCAGTTGGACATTGTTCCATGGCCCTTGTTTCAACTGCAGCTGTATGGAAAGAGAAAACACGTATCTGGAAATGGTGGCCAAATAAAAAGTGTAAAGAAGGATAAAGAAAACAGCTGAGATTCCAAGTGCTCCATATAAGCTATGAATTTACAAACTGCTGATGGCTACTTTTCACCTAGCTGCAACAGAAACTGCTAGAGGGTGTTGTCTAAAGGCAAGTTCTGTGACAAGCTAAAGTCAACACTTGGATGTTCAGCTGTTTCTCAAATGATTATTAAAAATTCCTACAGCAAGTCATACCTGCCCCTAGCTATGCCTGGCTCTGTACATCCCCCTGGCAGAAATATATAAAACACTTCATTTTATTTCCCAGTCCAGTAGCCTTTTGTCCTTCAGTAAACTTTTCACAGAGCTTGGCAATGTTGTGCAAGACAAGTGTCTAATCAGGCTTCTACTGAAATGTCACAACATCCAAGGTTCTTATTTTTAACCTGGGCCAATTTGGTATTGCATCAAGAAATGTCTGGTGGTGGTTCTTTATATAGCCTTTGAATTTTGCAAGCCGGCTCAAAGGTGATGGAAGCTTGGAAACATATGGGAACCAAGTCAGAGTTTCTTGGCTTTCGGGGGCGAGATGGAACATCTCACTGTTTGTCAGGGTGGGTGACACCTACCTGAGAAAAACTTGCAAATTGGAGCAGTCCCCAGGCACGTTTTCTGCTGTGTGTGGTTTCTGAACAAAGGGGATTGCAGATGGCATGCAGGGAAGCTCCTTTGCCAGAAATGCTCACGTTGACACCAGTGTCTGTTTGGAAGCTTGGGCGTGCTGGTGGTTCTCTGAAACCCTGTTCTGATAGGTGCTGTTCTTCAGAAGAGAAGCTGCTTTCAGTGACTAGTCTGTGTGTGTAGGCTGCTTCAGTGCAGACAAAACTCACTGATAAACTGCCATTATAAAATGTAAACTCAGCTGACTAGACTGCTTTCTGGGCTTGTTTTCTGTCCTGCACAGAACCGCTCTGCCTCTACTGCTGCGTTACCTGGAATTACTGTGTAGGCATTTCTACAGATGTACCAGAGATAGCTTTAGTACTAAGCAGAAACTTGTTCTCACAAGCAGATTTTGACTTTTCATTTCCTTTGCTGCGTTGAATGCGAGCAGGCTCTACTCAGGCTCCAGGGGACTGTCCTGTGACTTGTCCCATACTTGTGGGATCCTGGAAGCCTTACTCTACAGCTGCTGGGAGTTATTCAGTGAAGCAGATATTTATTCAGTACTAAAAAATCCTTGATAAGCTACTCAGGACTTGATGGTGTTCCACAGCATGCTTGTGTGGTTGCCATTACCAGCAGCATTGCTCCTGGAACAGCACAAGAGCTTCCTGTGGGATTGGTTCAAAGTCCCTCTGTGGAAGGGGCCTTTTTTTTCCCTGCAGACCATGCTGAAGGGTTGTTGAAGTATTTTGGTGCACATGGTTCCTAGATTTTACTGCAAGTGAATATACCTGTTCCCCGAGTTTAGGAAAATACTGGCTTCTGATCCTGTTTTTTCAACTGTGTCTAAGCTGCCAAAGCAGCAAGGAGCCCAGTGCTCCCCTAACTTGGTCTCTGCTTGTGCTCATATTTCTACTACTTTAACTGCATGATGTGTCGTTAATTGCATAGGTCAGACTGCTTAAAGGAGCGTTTGAGAGGAATTCACCTTCTCAGGGCTCACTGCCTAGCAGCCAGGGCTGTCTCCCAGGAGATGGTGGGTTGGATTCGCTTAGCTGGAGAGCAGCAGTGAACCCACACCTCCTGCCAGCTCCATGAGCACCCCCTCGGTGAGCATCCTGGTGTCAGCACGTTGGATAACAGAGAAAAGGAGAATCAAGACTGCTTGTAAAGAAACCAGGAGACTGGAAACACCCTGTAAGGTGCTTTGGAGACCCAGTGCAGTCTGGTGGCATAGGTGAGGTTGGAGCACTTTGGCAACTGTGCTTATCTGAGCTGTGGGTCCCTGTGGCTGTTGGGGTAGGGCTTAGAGGTACTCAGTTCTCTGGGGTCAGAGGAGCTCTGAGAAAGTGCAAAACCAAAGGCATGGGTAGCCTGGAAAATGGAGACACAAGCTGCTTTGAGCTGGAACAGCTGCAGAGAAGCATTTCCCACCAGGAAGTCCTGCTCAGGTTTTTCAGTAATGCAGATGGTCCCAGAGCTTTCCCATGAAACCTGTGGCAGAGCAGAGACTTTGGTTAGACTTTGGGACTCGTGAGCAGCATGGTTCTCTCACGTTCAGCGTGAACTGCAGGCCAAATCTTCCTGAAAGGATGGTTTGTATTTACTCAGTTAGCAAACTTTGTAACCTCATCTTCATCGAAGCTGAGTGACTCAGACTTCTGGGGAAACCAGAAAAATAGGGAAGTATATGATTTATTAAGATCCTTGGAGCTCTATGACTGACTGTGCTGCAGGAGGGGGATGCTTGACCATCCTTGCCTGCCCGTGTGCTCGCCCCTGTGAGCTGAGCGCAGCCGGGGGCACACGTTAGGTACCAGGTCCAAATGCATCTACAAGCGTGGGTGTGATTGAAGGGCCTGTGGGTGCTCACCTTCCCCTCCCTCAGCAGAAGGCAAAGGCAGTGGTTCAGTTGGAGTGTAAGGAAGGTGTTTGGAGGGGTAAAAGAAATGTTGTTCAGTCGGGTAAAATACCCTTGACAGAACAGTCCAACAGAGAGATTGTTGTTTGCAGCAGTCCTTGCCTGGCTTGGCCTTTACAAGAAGACTTTGGCATTTCCTTATTATTTAAAGGAACAGGGCGAGTAGCGAAAGTGAAAATGGCCTTATCCCGGCCCCGACGCCGTGTTCTTCCCGCCCACGGAGCCCGGCTGAGCCACTGTCACTTCGGCAGGGCTCGGGCCACACCCGGGGGCCAATGACACGGCATTTGGGGTGGGC